TATCATTTTTAGTTTAATCATTGTATTGGATTAACTGACCAACCATGGGTAGTGATAGTCTGTTTCTTTGCACTAAGGATTGCCATACCCCTGGAATCTTTCTAAAAGTGGAAATCCTAGGCTGGAAACACTTAGAGTCCCTAAAGCCTGTCCGTTATTTTTTGAGGGGAAGCTTTTATGCCCTGGGCAATGGAGAGTAGAAGAACAATGATAATGGGCAGGGAAGGGAGAGAAGAACTAAAAGGTGGGACATCAAGATATTCTGTTTTACACCTGGATAGAGTAACAATGGAAAACTTCCCATGGTAAGAAGCCACACACTCACTAATGACACAGGACTCATATAATCATTGCTTCAAAATGTATGATAAAGGAGTTAGGTTTAGTTTTATAAACAACTTATTAAGTCAGTTAAGCAGAGAGGTGGGAATTCTATGGCCATGGTTATTTGTACTTCAAGACTGTGTTTGTCACTGAGTCACTTTACTTTGTACTTTTCATTCCTAGCCAACTTGCATTTAAGATGACTTTAATCAGTGTAGGCTATTAGCCTCTTTGCTGAAATGCTGCCAGTTTCTGAATGTCAGTTTAGCTCTTTAAAAGAAAGGACCCAACATCTATAAAATGGTAATTGTCCCTTAAGTACCCTTAGTATTTATGATTATCCTATCCTCACTCTCTGTGCCAAAGTAGGGATGGTAAGTAAGGAGGCTCAACACTGTTGTAGGGTAGATCCAAATGTGGGCTTTGGAATCACACAACTTGAATTTGTATTGTCCTGATTGTCCTACTTACAAGTTGTGTGATCCTGGGTGATATTTTTTTGTTTGGTTGATTGGTTCATGGGTGGGGTTTGTGTGTGTGTGTGTGTGTGTGTGTGTGTGTGTGTGTGTGCATGCCTCTCTAAATCTTTTATTAGAATCCATAGAAATCCCATTTGCCCTGTGCCAAGTACATAGTAAACCCTGAAGAAATTGTTACTATTATTATCATCCTAATAATAAACCTAGGAAGTTACTCTCATGAAGTTCATAGACTATTAAAAGCTAGATAGTGGCTTAGAGGTCATGCAGATCACAAGGACCAGGGGAGTGAAGTCACAGAGCAGAGCTAAGAGTAGGGCACAGGACTCTTTTCCATTTAACCATAAAGCTCTCAGACCTCATGGGAGAGAACAAATAATAATCAGCTTACTTTGACCAGTGGTATAGAGAAAGGACCAGTGACAACAAAGAGAATGTTGGCTCTGGGTGGTCTGAGGCCCTGGGGAGGTCCATGGTGGTTTTCAAATAAAGTGTATTCAGGAGGAAGGGGAAAGACAGGTAGGTGCTGCCAGTGGCCAGTGTCACTTAGTCTCATTAGAGAGACACCAAGCAGATCGTTGATGGCATTAGATTTCCCAGCAGCTCTAGCTTTCCTCACCACCTGTCATGTCAAATTCATCTGAAGGAATCAGATCCACTATGCCTAGTATGCTGATGTTACCTTGGTTGCAGCTCCCTTCCCAACAACAGTGAAGTTAAACAGCCTGGAGAGTACAGAACCAGGGTCAGCAAACTACAGCTTATGGACCAAATCCAGCCTGCCACCTGTTTCTGTAAATAAAATTTCACTGGCGCACAGCCACAGTCATTCATTTATGTATTGCCTATGGCTGCTTTTGTGCTATACCTGCAGAGCTGAGTAGTTGGAACAGAGACCCAATGTTTTGCAAATACCAAAATATTTACTTTCTGGTACTTTACAGAAAAGATTTACCCATATCTGGTATAGATCCTTATCAGCTTCTTTGGAGACAAAGGCACTCTCCAGGCTATAAAAAGATCAACTGGCTTCTTATGGATATATTTATGTCCCTGGCATAAATGAAATTTCATTAATACAACAGAAAAGAAATGTAGAATTACATAGAATGCCCTTACAATCCAGAGACCATCTCTTCTTCAGTATGGATGAGAAAGACAACTGACTACCTCCTCTAAGGATGGGCCTAGTTTTGGCTTCCCTCTTATTCCAGAGCTTGGAGGAGATGGAACTAGTTGAAGAGAAAGCAACACCATTCCATGCATTACTTGGATAGTTACAAAAGACACCTCTTAAGGAATTTGTGTACTATGAACCAGACACTTGCCATACATTATTTTATTTATTCATTATAACAACCTTATTAAGTAGTATGATTGTCACCATTTTGCAGAAGGGTAAACTAAGGGTGAACTAAGATCACAGAGTGAGTGAGTGGTCAGGCAGAGATTTATAACCATTTGACTCCATGTTCTCTGAGCACATAGGTGCGGTAAGTAATTTAGCCATGCAAAGGTCTATTAGAAGTATGGTTGACAGTGGCTAAGGTTTACTCAATCCAGACAAAACAGAGGTCTAAGCATTATCTCCAGAAGTTGGCACTGCAAAATACTAACCTGCAAGTACTCATGAAAAATGTTCAATGTATTTAGAAAACATTGCACACATTAATACCTTCTTGGGAATCTACAAAGACGTTAGCAAGTTGTGCACTCTGAAAAATTCCGCAGTAAAGATCTTCTGTGATCAACTTGGCTCAACGTAATGTTTCCTAAATACTTTATCATGGAACCCTTTAAATAACTACATCCCATAAAACTAGTATTTCAAGAGATACACTTCAGGAACTGTTGAACTAGATGATGATGATGATGACAATGATGATGATGATGACAATGATGATGATTGATAATAACGACTACTAGTTATTAAGCAGTTACAATGAGACAGGCACCTGCCTAAGCATTTATATGTATTAATTCATTTAACCATCACAGCAAATGTATGAGATCAGTACTATTATTAATTCCCCACTTGACAGATGAGGAAACCAAGGCACAAACGATAAACAACTTGCCCAAAGTCACACAGCTAGTAAGACCTAGAGGCTATGAGCTCCTCAAACACAGGGATCAATTTATCTTTGCATAACCTCCACTTAGCATGGTGCCTGGCACAAAATATGCACCCAGGAAATGACAGTTGTACTGAATTGGAGATATGATACTAATAAAAAGGAAAAGCAACTGTATTGTGTTGAATAGAATGTTTAAAATCTTTAAGTAGTATTTACACAACCAGGGCACTTCTCATTCATTGGGGTTTCTAGTTGTGCCAGGTGAGACCATACCATAGATAATGTTCCTACTATAAACCATTTATATAGTATAACCATTTTCACATTTTATTTAATGGACCCCACTTTAGGTTAATGCAAAGATAAAAGGAAAATATCAAATAGTGAAGATCATATTTAACCACAAAAAATAATATTTCATTTGAAGGTACATTAAATTATGTTTTTGTGTGGCATAAAATATATTGAAAGAGGTAATACCACATCCATAAGGAACCACTGTATTGCCTTTGTTGGTGGAGTGGATGGATTTTTTAAATACAGTATAAGAACAGCTATTGAGAACAGTCAATAGCAACCTTTTAAATATTATAGACCTAAAAATATATCAAGGTTAAAATTAATAGATAAAACACTGGTGAATTTTCACTATAGATTTGAGGGAAGCACTAAGGAAGAAAAATAACACACTTTAGCTTTAATGGGAAGAGAAGCAAAGGCAGCCTGAGATGACTATGTTTTTGCGTCCTGCAAAATAAAAAGGAAATTTATGCTTAGCATCTTGGGAGCTTCAAATTCAGTAATTAAATTGTATTACTTCTCATCACTTTAGCATAGAACATTCCTCAATAACAGCTAACACTTAAGAAGGCTTACTATGCTGTTGTAAGCATCTTGTATGAGTAGCCCTAGGTGGTGTGTACTATTATTATCCCCATTTTACAGATGTGGAAACAGAGGCAGAGAGGTATAGTAGGTAAAGTCATTTTCCTATGATCCAAATGTCAGGGTATGTCCTAGACTCACTAGGTGGACACCAGAGAGCCAATGTGGTCATGTGAAGTTGAATCCTTGCCAATAGGCCCTTCCTTGGCAGTTTGTTCTATGACACATTTCCAGAGGTTGTTATAGACCTTGCCACTTAAGAAGCCCATCCATTTAAGGCTATGCATTAGTAACCACAGGTAAAGATCTGTCCCTTCCCTCACCTCTACCACCGGTGTATGCTAAGATTTCTAACCCCACAACCTGGCCATACCCATACCCTACCAAAACACCATCACTTGCTTATGACTATGTTTATGCCATGATGGCGCATCAGACCCAAAATATTCAGGAACCACCACATGCTCTGCAGTGTTCAGAAAAGTCCAGGGGAAAAAATGTCTAAAAGTTCCTTTAGAGAAAGCACAAACAGCTCCACACTGATGGAAAGGAAAAATGGAATTTTACACTTAAGCATGTGGCCAGGATCCCAGTGTGGGAGCCATTGGAGAGTTAAAAACAGAGCCCTTAAGAGAAATAACAAATTGGTAAGAACCAATATTGAAAGTTATCTTTATAATTATATTTGCATTCCCAAATGTCTGCTTCCCTCTCCCCTTTTTGTGAGTGATAAATAAGTCACTTTAAAGAACCAAAGCATTTGTTTGCTGGGAGGGCTTGATGAGACACAATAGCATATGTACTTTAAAAGATAAATACCCAAGCCTTGGGAAGAACACTTGACAATAAAAGGGTATTATTTACAGAAAGGTGTATTTTAAACAGATGGCCCAACAAACTCAATTGAAAATGAAAATGGAAATTGTATTTCTTAATTTGTATCAATGAGCATATCAAAACCTTAGGCAAAAAAAGTATATACACTACATTTAATTCTCATTCATAAACTGTCAATGTCTTACAATTCAGCACAATTAAGCAAAAATAGCTTCTCCCTTCTCAGTTGTACCTTAGTAGCCTTATATCCTTTCTTACTTGCACCTTTAGTGAGTCTTTCTTTTCTTCTTGAAGGTAATCCTGAGTTAGGGTCGAACAACTGCAAAAAGTCTGATTTATTAAGCAAACAGGCTAGAAGTCACAGGGCTGATGTTAAAACACAAATATGCCTACTCACCTGGATGGCTCTGACATTGGAAACTGGCTGTTTCGACATATTCACGCAGTCTTACCCCTAAAAAAACAAGTAAGAAACTGTTAGAGGTGGCGGCATTCAGATTCTCGGTCTTGATAAATTAGAACTTAAGTCATGATTCAACTGGGCAGTCACCCCTTTCACTGGCCATATATTCTTTCAGTCTCAGTTTCCTAAGTTACTTAGAGACTCTCCTTCCTAAAGCCTCAGGGAGAGGGAACACGAGAGCCCCGGATAAATCATTCAGGAGCAGAAATGCTGAGACGCCTCGCCCCTGATGCTAATGATAGGCCATCAGAAACTTGAAAGGCGCTATCATCTCCTTCCCTGCCCTCCTGCCCCCCTGCCAAGAGCAGCAAAGCAAAGAGGCTGTGGGAATAAAACACCTTTGTTTGGGGCCTCGGAAGCTTTCCGCTTGAAACTGAACTTTTGATCTGAATTAGTTGTTGCCAGGGCTCCACATCAGTCAGTTGAGAGCGCCTCCTCTCCCTCTCCATTGAGCATCCAAAAAAAAATGGACTTTACTTCATTCTTACTACTGCGATGCTCTCTGCTTGCTGTGCACATGTATGTCCTGCCCAGTGGCCTGAGCAACACTGTGAGGAAGTAGGCCACATCTCCCCCTGTGTGTCCAAAGCCTAGGCTCTGTAAACCAGGCAGCTGGCAAGCCTCACCTCCTTTTCTTTTAACAAAACAGTCCCAGAAGGCAAACAGGACTTACATGGCCATGTCAGATCTCCAAGACATAGTAGTAGTGCTTCCTTCCCAAAGGAGTTTGGCTTTCTTTCAGCTATGGGACCTGTCTTAGAACATGGTGACTATGGTTTACAGGGGCCAGGGGGGCAGGGAACAGTCCAGCTGTGTATCAGTGGTGTTATCACTTGGTCTATTAAATGTTGACAAAACCGAGTGAGAAAGTTAAAAGGTCAGCAAATTAAAAATATGCTACTTTTTAAACCAAATCTATAAAATGGGTTGACTGATTTTTCTCCACTGATTGGTGTAAATGTATGTGCTAAGTGGGGAGGAAATGAACCCAGAGAGCAGTGTTTCCATTGGCCACAAGTCCTGTGTAACCTCAACTATGTCACTCAAAATCTCTGGGCCCATTTCCACTTTCTAAAAATTTACCTGCTTCACAAGTTGTGAAAAGAATCAAAATGATGTAATGTTCCCCAAAATGCCTTGTAAACTATAAAGCATGATACAAATATTTATTGTTTTGCCATTGCCCATAGCTAGTGACATCTTAGGACTACTGTATACTGATCTAAAACTTGAAGCACAGAGTTAAAATTGATATAATAATGCCCCTCAATACTTTAGAGATAAAGATCTGACAATTCTGTGAAGAGTTACTTTTTCTGAGATCTTCAAAGTCTTAAGCTTTATTATAGGAAGTTAAATAATTACATATTTTTCAATCTATAATTATATCCAACTATATAGTCTTTAGAACCACATATATGAAAACAGTGAGACTTTTTTAAGTTTCACCTGAGTGTTTTGGTAATATAGAGAATATAGCCTCCATGCATAAGGGTCTAGGTAGAATTGTTTTCAATATGGTTAAAAAATTAAAAAGCAACAAATTAAACAATCAAGAATGCAATTTGTTCTATAATATATTTCAAATAGGTTGCTGTCTTTCCTGCAGCATCAAAAAGTCAATGAACGATTTTTAATTTGTGGATCTAGGACACACACCTCAGTGTCAAATGGAAAAGCTAGGAAGCTTAATTTTTAATGTTTCTATCCCTCAAAAGCTATTAGAAGTCATGCAAAGCAGTAATTTGCACAAACATTAAGTATCTCAGCATATAGTATACTTTATGCTTGTGGAACTGAAGTTTAACTAGTATCACTTGGGAACTTTAAAAAATTTCTTGTACATCAATTTGAAACATGAGAATTGGGAATTTCTTTATGTTATTACAATAGCAGGTTGAAATGAAAACAAAAAAAACAGGTAATGCATAATTCTGCTATTTATAATGCATTGATTTTTTTTTAATTAGGCTGATTTTGAGTCTTCCACTGAACTGCATTGCTTTGTATTTTGTGGATCTCTAAGCTTAAGAGATGGGTATTCCTTGACCTTATCTTCTGTATAGCTTTGGTATAATCTCATTTACATGTGAATTTCTTCTTAACATATATGTCAATCTGCAATAGAGACAACTCTGAAAAGTTGGTCAGATCCCAGCTCTCATTCCTAGCAAACAGGCTAGATCACATTTGTGTAAATCAGTTCTGCAGCCGTTCCTGCTGTCCTCATTATTCGCAGAGAAATCAGGGCAAAGCACACTGATGAATAAAAATAGACAGTGTTCCCTGGCTGTTTCCCTGGCCCTGTGCTCACCTCCGTTAGGGATGCGGAGTGTACAATGCATCTTCCTTCTTTATCTGCGTGACTCGTCCTGAGACCAAAAATGAAAGCTATGCCTTAGATGCACAACTCCACTCACATCGGGGCCACTGCTTTTCATACAATGAGGTACTCTTTACAGCACTCTCTTACTGTGTCTGCTGGTTCTGGCTAAAATTTGGAAACATGGAAAGTTTGACAAGGTGTGTATTGACTTTTACAAAGCCTATACTATAGTGAAAATACTTGCTAGTTTAGCACAGTTGAGTTTTCCTGGCAGTTCTGCAAGTCACTGAGCACCTTTAATGGTCTATATGCTGACTCATGTACAGTGTCTCTGCTGGTTTTTCATTGGACAGGACCAAATATCGAACTTCTAAATAAGACTCTTTCATTTACTAAAATTTGTCAACATTAATATCACTAATTTAATAAAAGTGGATTCAGAGCAAAGTCAATCAATATTTGCAGAGAAGGGGCTTTGTTTGTTCTCTTAAAAGGTCAATTAAATGGCTAAAGTGAAATCTCAAAGGGAATTATCTTCTATCCTGCAGCTAAAAATAATTCTGAGAAGGGTGTAGAAAGATGGTCAGCTGTCTGAAATAACTCCTTATTCAATTTGCCTGAAATGTGCCGAGAGAGAAGAGGCACTTAGCTTTCCCACATTTCAGAACCTGGTGCCCACAAAGAGACAGGGATGTTCTCCTCTACCTTGCCGAGTACAGGGAACACTATGACAAAAGTGGGACTTTCAAAAAGATGGGTCTAGAATATTAATTGATCTATACATTGATAAAACTTTGTTACTGAAGCCAAGTCTGGCACTTAGGGAGAGAAGAAAAGCATTTTAAAATTGAACTGTAAATTTGAACGACTCTGGCAATAATTTGCATTTAGGTAAACCAAAGAGCTAGCATTATAGCTTTTCTCTGCCTCAAATTCTCCTGATAATTTCTAGGTTTACAGCCCAAATCAATCTGTGGCTGACCTACTGTAACCTAGCCATAAGAATCAAAATGACATAATATTCAGAGTCACAGTCATCATACCTGGACCATGGAAATTTTCTCACTGTCACTATCAGTACAAACTACTTTTAGTTAAATATTCTTTCAAACATACACACATACCATTTATAAAACAGAAACAGCAGCATCACCCATAAACAGTGAATTTACAAGAAAGCTACACCCACTGGTTACAAGCCTACAAAGTTATTTAGGTAGTCACTACCAATTAGGTATCAAGGAAATTTCCTTCAAAAAGCCCAGTCACCCCAGCTGAGTCCTGCTTACCTGCTTTGTGTATTTGTTTACTGCCCAAGAAAAGTCCCAGGCAGCCTGGTACAAGAATACAAGGTTCCTTAGAAGGTGAAAGGGATGCCCGGTGTCCTCTGAGCTGCGATCTCGATTCTGATGCTTTGCATGTGGCTGAAATAGCTCAAGTGTTCGGTGCCTCACCCGGGATTGAGAGCTGCTCCCGGCTGTGGGCTGGAGGGGAACTCAGTTTAAGGCTAAGTGTTAAAGAGAATTCCTGTCATAGCTCACAGTTGTTCTTCCTAAATATAGAGTTTGATACAAGCCATACGCTGGCTGCCTCCAAAAGGCTTGACCGTGCTGAAAGCAGGGCTCAAATGTCAGCCGGAAGGTGGCTATGGAATCTTACTGCCCTCCTAATCTTCCAGAAGATGCTGGCTGCATTTTCTCACGTATTCTGAGGGGGCATGGTGAAGTTTGAAAAGTAGGGAAAGTTTCTATCTTTAGCTTTATTACCTGGAGGCCAGAAGATGAGGAGTGTTCAATAAGAATAGGAGAGGGACAGCATGGCACCGAGCTTCTCAGCAGGGGCACAGCCATCAAAGATTCTTTGAGTCCTAGCTTGGTCACTCAGGACCTGTTAAAGTTTTTTCATAATCAGCACTCAATAAATAGTCACTAAATGATGACCATTATAATATTATATTGAACTATAAAACATCACCCTGTTTGTAGGTCAAAAATGGTCACAGATCAACTAACTCATGTTGTTCCAGGGTCCAGAGTCCTTGTTCTCTCTGCTTTACCACCTCTACTGGTGGCAGTGACTTTGACCTCAGAGCACAGGAAATAGCAGACAAAACAAAACAAAGAGGAAATATTGATTTTGACTCAAACAAAGGCCAAGACCAGGTATGAAGCAAAACATTTTTATACAGAACACTGCCAAATCCTAAGGAGCATGCTCATCATTTTTGTTTTGATTTTTTGTTTTGGGTGTGCTTTTTTAGGGGGGGGCGGTTATTGTGTTCATTGTTTTTAACACTACTTAACTCTTTCTTTTTTACTTCATCAGTCTCTGAAATTTTCTTCATAGAATTTCCCTTTAGTAGAAAGATTAAACAGAGTGGACATGCTTGTAATTCATCCACTGGATGAAAGTGACTCCATGTCTGAGTCCCTGACTGCATAGTCAGCCACTGAACTGTCACAGATTCATATGAACCCCCTGAAATCAGGTTTTTGTTCCCTGCAACTGAATGCATTTCAAAGGGAAGCAATTTGCTTGTTTTCAGGTACATAAAAAGAATACCAGCTTTCTAGAAGTGTAGGAAGTCAATAGATAATTGTGGTTTGTCTCAGTTTGGAGTTCACCATTAAGTTCTATTTGTGTGCTATTTAAAAGAATTGTGTTTTCAAAATTCGGTTTAGACAGCACGCTTTGAGATCACATGACATCAAAAGTGAGTTATTTATACTTTGGGAGAGAAAATATAATGAGCACCTTAAATATTTCTCCAGATGTTAGGCTACTCCTATATGTTCAGAGGTCTTCACCAAACAACAGGTCACCACTCCATGGACAAACAACAATAATGAGCCATTTCTGATCCCTTGCCCTGCACTCAGCCCATACATTTGCCACAGTTTTTTTGTCCCTAACCATCCCTCAATAGCTACTGGTGTTGTACATTGTCAAGGGAAGTGCTCCTGGCTGCAACACCTTGTACACAGGGCTGGCCCAGCATGGGAATGGCTGCCTCTGTGGGAAGAATGAAAGTGAACTGCATAACCAGGACTTCTTTGGTCCTAAGTGACAGAAACCCAAAGTGAACTAGTTTAAGCCAAGACAGTTCCTAGAACACTGCCAGCTTCACAGGTCCAAAGCCTGAATCTGTCTACTTCTTTGCATTGGTACTTTCTCCATCTCCAAGGCACATTAACTGGGTGTGCTGCAGGCATGAACCATTAGTGCTAGGGGACAGGCACCCCTAGAGACAAACCCAAGCCAATGGGGATGAAAGTCAAGGATAAGTCTCACTGTTCTCTGGTAGAATGATTCTGAGATGTAGTCTACAGTATCCCAGAAGTCCCTATCAGCACTGAGCCCCAGTTGCCCATAGCAGGGACTTGCTCATTATTATACCTTACTGTCTCCTTTCTCTGTCTCACTTCCCACTCCCTCACTTGTGTTCTCTGAGATCAGTAACCAAATAGACCACCTGCAACCAAGTCCTTGTCTCAGTGTCTGAGTTCGAGGCAACCCATACCAAGAAAGAGGGGTTCATTGGGAAAGTTTTATATTGTGGAAGGAAAGGCAGGGGGTGCAGGCAGCCTCAGAAATAACTAGAACAGAGAACTCAGACCTCACTAGAGAGTACCAAATTTATTTCTCCAACTCTGGGTTGAAAAATCCTGGGATTCTGATTGCCCCAGCCTGGTTTAGTCACCTAACTACTGACCAGGGGCTAGGTCACAGCAGAGAGGAGGCCACTGGGGTGCACATCTGTGGATAAGGTCCTTCCCAGAGGCAAGGAATAGTTGTGAGCTGAGGACCCTTCCAACTGGAGTCTCCCAGAAGCACCAACAAGCTGAGTGCTTTAACTTGACCACCAGCCATAGCCTCCTGAAATTTCTGCTACTGTTGTTACTTCATCAGTTTAAGGCCCCCATATAACAGAGGAAGCCCCAGGCACAAATCAACACATACCTGGATTGGTGAATGACAAGTAGGCCCAAGAGGATGGGTACAACTTGAATCCATTTCTTATTGGGAGGATTGAAATGTGAGGAGAAGGAAAAAGAAACAAACAGTCTTTAGGTATGGGAAACAGAGAGCTAGATGGTACTGGCCATTGAAGGGTCAGCTTGAGACCTTTGGTAATATTTCATTGGGGATTATGAAAGAGAGGCATGGGAACAAAACAAAATTCACTTAAGCCATTTCTATCTGCATGCCTTCATCCCTCGTCCACTATGGTCAAACAGCAGGAGAATATGTAATGACAACTTAATGTCATAAGTAATGACAACTTATGTCTACACAGGATAGGCAACAGTAGGTTTACACTTGTGACTACACAAAACAGAATTTATTCTTGCATTATGACTTATTAATTATTATATTATTTTTCATATGAACAACTATAAACTTACTTTTTCCACACCCTGTATAGCCCTTGTTGAATTATAAAACATTTTTTTCTGAAAAAGCTATTTTTAACTTTTAGAATCAACCTATTTATGCTAAGGGAAATAAGCCAGTCAGAGAATGACAAGTACCATATGATCTCACTCATATGTGGACTCTAATGAACAAACTGAACTAATAAGCAAAATAGTGACAGACTCACAGATAGAGAGCAAGCTGGCAGCTCTGGAGGCACTGGATGTGGGGTGGGGGAACTGAGCAAAAAAGAGAAAAAAACTCATGGACACAGACAACAGTGTGGTAATAGTGTAGGTGGGGGTAGGGGGAGGAGGGTATAGGTGGGATAAATGGCGATGGATCAAGATTTGACTTGGAATGGTGACCACACAGTGTAGTGTGCTGGTGTGTATTGTGGAGTTGTGCACCTGAAACCTGTATGATTTGGTTGACCAGTGTTATCCCAAAAAATTCAACAAAAAGAAAAACTTTTGTTGAGTTATTGGGGTGACATTGGTTGATAAGATCATATGGTTTTTTGGTATATGATTCTGTAATATGTTGTCACAGTATTATGTTGTGTGTTCACCACCCCTAGATAGTGTCTCTTGATCCCCAACTTTAAAAGATTAAGATACTAGCATGTCTACCATTCCAGTAAGCTCATATCCTTTTTTATACATTTTTAGCAAAGCATTTTCATTTGTATTAATGTATTTAGTCCTCCCAACAATTCTGCAGGTTAAATGGTATTATTCCCATTGTATAGATCAGTAAGTCAAGACTCAGAGTGTTAATTCAGAGCCAGTTATCACCAGCTTTTGACTCTTATATTTAGTGCTCTCTCCTGTTATATCACAATGACTTTAAGGTAGTACACTCACATGCACATCACTGCGTAAGCAATATATATATAATATCAGTTAGAATGCATTTTGTTGCAAGTAACAGAATACCTAACCAGCAGTGGCTCCATCCGTAAAGTCATTTAACCATCTCACAAACCCAGAAATTTGAAAGGAAGAAGTTCCAGATTGGTTCAGAAATTTTATGAAGTCAAAAAGACCCAAGTAATTTCCAATTTTTCTACTCTGCCACTGTCAACAGTTAGCTTTTTATCCTCATGCATCTTACCTCATGGTCTCAAGATGGTTGCCACAGCTCCAAAACCCAGGATCTTCCACTAGTATTCAAATAAGAAATGGTAATGATGGTGAGAAAGGGGGCTTTTAGCAGAATTCCCCTTATATCTCGTTGGCTGGAACTGGGCCTCATGGCTGCACAGGAGGGTAAGAAAATTTTTCAAATGGCAGAGGATGAATAGAGTAGCAAAGAAGACAGAATGACAGTGATGTAGACAAGATACATAAAGAGGCATATAGTGGAAAACATGCTTTCACACACATAATCTCATTTTATCCCCATCACTTTATGAAGCAGATGTTTTTATCTCCATTTTATAAGTGACAAAACATCCTGAAAAAGGTCAAGTCACATGCTTAAGAAGTGTCCTAGTCAAAGCCCTAATCGAGGTCTTCAGGCTCCAAATTGCATTGGTTTCCCTTGTTCAACAATGCACAAGCCAACCAAGAGCCAGGCTGCTCATTCCATTGCCCCATCCCTGAATGCCCTCATGGATAGGACTGTGATTTGGAGGCCTACAAACCTCCAAATCACAGGCTTCTTTCGGCTTCCTTTTTGCTCGGTTCTATATCTCTAGGTCTGCCTACAGTTGGGGTAGAGAGTAAAATAAATCATATTATAAAATTTTTTAAATAAATTAATACAAAATTATTTGTAACATTATCTGTAAACATGTAACCCCCTCCCCCAAAAAAGTATATGGTGACAGACAGAAGAAAAATTAACAAATGAAGAATGATTAGCTAGGAAGAAAGAGTTATAAAAAACACTAATGTATGACCAATGAAAATACTTTATTTTCCCATAATATTTCTGTGTTAAATTTTAACTTTAACACTATAACTGTGAGCAAATCCATGCTTGCTTTTAATGCAGAAGAGCAGGTGACAAGTTGCATTTGTCCCATGGGGTGCATAGTCTGTGATGACTTACTTCCTTCTGTGATTACATGAGCCAACCCTTTCTCTCCTTAT